TAGGCTGTACCATCTCGGTTTGTGTAAATACGCTCTGTGATGTTCGCACAATGACGAAATTGCCTGATGACACATTTCTCAGAATGTATCCATGTTGTTAAGTGACACATGATTGTATTAATATATTTTCTTTAGTTAGGTACAAAACTGAGTGGGCATCTGGTAAAGAAATGGGTTGTGGGTTGAGTCCTATCTGCTTGGAGCCTGGTTGGCATAGTGCTAAGTGCTCCTGTCCAGTCAGGCCACAGCCACACTTTTTTTGATCAAGCTCTGACATTGTCACTTGTGGATGTCACTGCAGAGTCTTGAGAAACATTGAGGTCAGAGGGTGGGCCCCTGACACCAACTTGTGACTGAAAGAGAGCCTCAAAAGGATGCTGTCTGGTAAGCTTTTGTAAGCCCAAGTCAGGCCTTCAGGATAAGAGGGAGTGGGAAGACGTAGAGTTTTCCACTTAGAGAATAACAGTGAAAAAGTTCTACAAATGCTGTTCCAGACTGAGCCGAGTCCCTCCCCAGGCCATGAAAATCCAGGCCTTGACCACAAACAGCTTCTCCTCCCACGCTGTTGCTCCCTCTGGTCTTCCCTCGCTGCCTTCTCTTGCTTCTGTTGAAGGAAGGCTTCTGTGCTGTTCTGAGCCCCAGGTTGGTGCTGGGGTTGGCTCCTGGGCAGTTTTGGCAGGAAGAGGGGATGCCTTTCTAGCATGAGTTTCTCCAGAATGCCCACAGGTCTTACCTGAGCCCTTGGTACCCAGGACACTGTCTCTCTCACTCTGAGTGCTTTTGCCTTTCCTGATAGGGTCTAAGTGAACCAGAGGCCTTGGAGGAGCTTTTATTTTTCCTTCCTTTTAAAACAACACTCGTGTTTCCTGTTTGTAGCAGCATGACAGCTCCTTTGGGAAATGGCTAAGGGACTGTGAGAAGATGGGCAGTGGTTCAGACAGAATCTGAGAGACAGAGTCTGCTCCACTCAATCTCTGATCTGGGCCCTTGGCTTGAAAAGGAAGGAAGGAAGGAAAGAGCAGGGGATGCCTGCGAGCTGGGCTGAGATGGCTTAAACAGGCAAGACGGCCTCTTCCCTCTGCCCTGTGCTGGTCCCAGAGCTACTAAGCTGGGTCCTCCCACTCACCTCCCAGCAGGGAGGGGGCGGGAGTGAACACTAGTCTGATCCTGCTTCAAGGGCCACCGTGGAGGCAGGGACGTGGGTTCTTGCACATGAGCTGGAAATCAGAGTGAGTTCTGTCATACTCGCCGTGCAGTCAGGACACTTTGGTCCATAGTGGGTCAGGTGGAATTAATTAGCTCATTAGTTCAACAAATCTTTGGGTGCCTGCTGTATTCCAGGCACTGCTCAGTGCAGTGGGAAACAAGTAAGCCCACGGCTGCTGACACACCACTATGTCTGACGTGTATGTAATGTTTTAACTATGTACCACAGCTTGCACAAACTTACTGAGTTATACACAGGTATTGATAGGTCTATGATAAAGCATGCACAAGAAAGAAAATATGAACGAGATAAATAGAAATAAGTTCTAATATTTCCTCCCACACCTTAGTGGCTTGCGTTGCTCGCATTCCACTTCAGAGAGCACTAGCATGTACTGCTGCCTTTGTGTTTCAGACCTCCACCTTCCATGTAGCTTTGGGAAGTGGACCATTTTGAGTTGGGGCTGCCTGTTGCATGAATGGAAGGTGTGAAAGAGGAAGCAAGGCAGGCAGATGCTGAGCTCTCATAATTGGTTAGCACACGGGCCCAGCAAGGCCTGATGACCACCATTCTTTCCCCACTCCACCCTCCTTGGGAAGGGTGCCTTAAGCTTCTCATGCTCCTGTCCTTTATGCTGTGGTCAGGCTCCTGAGGGGTGGCGTGTTGTTATTCAGTCCCTTTATAGTTTTCATAGATGTTGAATTGGGTCATCCCACCAGCCATCAGAGATAAAGGATCCTTTCCCCACTGGAAGACCAGAGAACGGAGGCCTGTGCTGAGTGTGATGAGCATCAGAGCCGGGACCTGGGCTCTGCCTTCCCTGACTGGCTGCTGCCTCCTACTGCAGAAAGTCCTCCTTGACATCTGCCTGTCTCGCCATCCCCTGGAGGAGCAAACCAATGAACAGGCTTGGCACCTCTGACTTTTGGTTCAGCTCCTTCAGACTCGTTCCTTCAGGGAGTTTACTTCATTTCTTAGTTGTTCATCCCAGGCTCCCTGTTGTCTTGGTAACAACAATCACAGTGTCTTTGTGACGGTTCTCTTTTACTACTTTTTGTCTCAGAATACCTCGCTTCACTTCACTGTTTCCTAGCAAGGAAGGAGAGGAGCCCGATAGTGCTGGGCTAAGGTTCATAAAAAGACCTGGAAGGTCCAGAGACTCAGTACAGAGCCAAGCTCCCTGTTCTCCTCTGCAGGGGCTCTGCCTGGGCTCCTTCCTGTCCTTGTGAGTGTCCTTGACAACAGGATGGGTAAGTTAAAAATAACCTTGTGCTGGGCCTTCTGTGTGTGGTGTGAGTGTGTGTGTGCGCGCATGCGTGCAGGGGTCCTCTTGCGTGCTGTGCTCGAGCTCAGTCCCTGTGGCTTCTAGATGCTCCCAGAGAGCATCTGTGGGAGGCCTCGGTAGGGCCCAGGTGCTTGCATGTTGCAGCCCTACAGTTTAGGGGTCAGATCTAGATAATCTCGCAGCCTCGTCACCTCGTAGGTGTTAATGTTAAAGAATGGAAAGCCGTTTTGAATGCCTTGGTCTTCATTCAGTCTAACTGCAGAGGGATAGTCCTGGAGGTGTTGCCGTGTTTGGGAACCTCTTGGGGCTGTGGAATAGGACACAGCCCTGGGTGGGAGTTTGGTTGGATCTCTTCAGGGAACCCCCACAGGTAAAGAGAGCCCTTTCTGGGCCCCTTCTATAAGATGAGAACATCAGAGTACAGAGGCGTTTGGGTGACTTGTCCAGATCCCCCTGGCTCAGCTGCAGCAGAGTAAGGAGCAGTGACCCATCATCAGAAGCTGTGGCTCTTTCCCTCAGATCCTACTGACGAGGCCACCTCGTTAGGTCCATTACTAAAGCCCCTTCTTTGTATCAGCAGTTCCGCAGTAGTTAAGATCCTCTGTTTGGTGGTGTTATCACAGTGGTAAGTTAATTTAGAAATAGCCATCTCCATGAGGGCAGGGGCTGGGTATCTCTTTACCACACCTGGAATTAATTCCTTGCTTCCTCCCTCCATCCTTCCTTCCATCTGTTAGTAAGTATTTTGCTGTGTGCCAGGTGTGGGGATGTCACGAGAACAAGGTGTCATGGTTGCATCTTTAGGGAGCAACAGACAATTTTGAAAATCTCCCCCTAAGTCCTCTTTGTGGCCAGTGCCGAGAAGGTCTGAGTATTAGGAGAGGGAATGACTAGGGTGGGGGTGGGGCTAGAGAAGGCTGGGAGAACATATTCATGACATGAAGTACTTACATCTGGAATGTATGAAAAACTCCCACAAATAATAGAAAGGCAGGCAGAAAACTCTATAGAAAACTGGCCAAGGACTTGACAGACACTTCACAAAAGATATCCAAATGGCCAATAAACATATGAAATGGTGTGCAATTTCATATATCTGTTAGGGAAATTCAAGTTGTTAGTTCAACTTACAAAATATAAGTGTTGCTGTGTATGCACACATAGATAAATGAAATCTTTGAAGATGTGGTGAAACATCCTCCTGCCATTTCTAATTTACTTCATTCTGAACTTCTTACTGAAAAGTAAAATGGTTTCCAAGATGCTTAACTAAAAGGAAATCTAGTGGGATGAACACAGTGAAGTCAGAAGACCTGGGTTAACGGGATTTGGGGCCAGCCACTGAACTTCTCAGAGTCCCTGTCTCCTTGTTTGTGTAAATAGCGATCTTCCTGTCTTCCTTCCCTTCCTCTAGAACTGCTCTGAGGTTCACAATTATGGGAAATGCTCTTAAAACTGTGAAAGACTCCACAAATACAAAGTGTTATTGTTACTCTCTCTACTTCTAAGTGATTTGATTTCTCCTCTACCTCTTCTCACAGCAGCTATTCTAAATTTTCCTGAGAAATAAACACCGAGTAGTAGGATGGTCCCTAGCATTCAGAGCAGCCTGCTCCTTGGTCCTTCGGATCAAGAGCCTGTTGCTGGCATGGCTCTAGTCCCCTCACACTGGCTGGGGAGCAGGGTGAGTTCCTACAGGCATTCCTTACGTGGCTGGGGCCTGGACAGCAGCTCTGTGAGTGATATTGCAGGGTCTGCTAATGCCCAGGCCTGATGACAAGGAAAAGACAGAGACGCACCAGTTCTGGTGAAGCATTGACTCGAGTGAGCAGTACTATGTGGGTCCCACACTTACTGGGGCTGGCCTCCTCACAGAGTGCTCTTGTGAAGTCTGGAAGCAACACTGTGGGCTTTGGGGAGTCCAGTGAGGGGCAATAGGCTGTACACCCAGCTTTCCCTGAGAGGGCCTGGCCAGAGTTACTGGTGGCTCTGAGTGCACAGCATGTTGTGGCAGAGCAGGGACTGCTCCCTGTATGTTTTGGGTGTTGGTTGAAAGGGGTTTTTCAGAGGTGGATGGGTCTTCCTGGTGCCCACAGCCGAACCTTTATAGGCAATAAGCCCGGAATACCTGCAGCAAGGGCAGGGTCAGGAATGAGGCCCTGATGAAATCCAGCCACAGCCCCCTTTTGCATTCTTTGGATGCAGAGCAGGCCCTTTCTTCCTCTTCTGGACTGTTGCCTCCCTGGTTCTCTTGTAAGGCAAGGAGGATGAGCAGATCACGGCTGGTTCTCATCCTCCCGTGGTGCAGATGCACGCGGGAGAGCTGGCCGCTTGGGCACAAGTCAGAACAGTGTCGGATTGCTGTGAGTGCCATCTCTTCTGTCACCTGACTGTTCCAGGTCCTCAGGCCTGTTTGGGGTCTTTTCCCACAGATCTCCTGTGATAGGCGTGTACAGCAAGCTACTTAGCATTTTTGACCTTTTCTTCTTCTGTTTTTCTGCTGTGTAGGAGTCAGAGTCAGAAGCAAAGGTAGATGGAGAGACCGCATCAGACAGTGAGAGCCGAGCAGAAGCTTCTCCCCCACTAATCCCTGCAGATGATACCCCGGAGGTCCTCAACAGGGCCCTTTCCAGCTTGTCTTCAAGGTAACCTGGCTTAATGATGCAGGTGCTTGTTGGAGGCCTTGCACTGTGTCCAAGTGCCATGGAAGACCCAGAGTCCTCAGAGAGTCTGCGGTGTATTAAAGTGTGTGGGGCAGACCTGCCCACTTGCAGTGGCCACAGTCTCCCCTGCCTCTGCCCAGGGCTCCACTGAGTGTCATGTAGGCCTTAACAGCAGCTATGAGCACAGCCTGGAAGGATCCGGTCCTTGAAGGGTGCTCTAGGCTGGGCTGAGAGGCACAGTCCAAGGGGGAGGAAAGTGTGGACAAAAGGCTGGTGGTGGGCAGGGTTGCTGACACAGTCATGAAGAGAAATGGTCCTTGGGGTTTGTGACTAATGAGTGGGCTGCTTCTCACTGAGGAGCCCAACTTGCTAGTTCAAAGTTTAGTTTTCCCTCTCCCACACACATCATTGTGAACATTCCTTAAATTCTTCTGGAAGAATTGAGAAACATCTCAGCTTCGGTGAATCTAGGGTTAAAATTTTGGTCCCTTGAGACTCTGGTCCCTCCAATACCAACTATGTGAGTAGATTAAAAATATAAACTGAAAGACCCCAAAACATTATCTAAAAGTGTTCCTGTGTGTGCCTTCTACACACGTGTCCCTTTGAAAAGCTGTGTTGTGCAGTGGTTGAGGACGTGGATTCTGGAGCCAGACTCCTAGGGTTCAAATCCCAGCTTCACCACTACTGTATGACATGTGTGTCCATTTCCTTATCTGTGAAAGCTAGTAGTGTTGAGAGTTGGGTGAATTAGTATACGTAAAGTCCTTGTAAAAGTGCCTGGTGCATATTTGTGATAGGTATAATTATTATTGCTTAATATTGTTATCACCATAACGACGCAGGGGCAGAGCAGTGTAGGATTCTGCTGCAGGAAAAATGTGCATAGTTTTTTCTTCAGGTAGAGATGGCCATAGAAGCCATCCAAGTAGATGGCACTACATTCGCCTTGGGATTTTTTGCCTGATTCCTTCATTAAGACTTAAGCTGGGTGTATTTTTCTGTAGGCCTTGGAGCACCTGCTGAGTTTGGTGTGGGTGAGGCGATGGCTGTAGTGGCCCTGCTCCCACCAGCATGTGACTAGTGCCTCCATCAAGGTGAAGAAGGTGGTCTGGAAAGGATTGACCTCAGGGCTCTTCTCATCCCAGAAAGAGCCATCCCCCTCGGGGTTTGTGCTTCGGTTCTTTCTGGGCTCCTAACATATTTTCTCCTTCGCCTCCTCTCTAACTTAGATGGAAGAACTGGTGGGTGAGAGGCATCCTGACTTTGGCCATGATTGCATTTTTCTTCGTCATCATTTATCTGGGACCATTGGTTTTAATGATGATTGTAAGTACCCTTTGCATGCTGTTTTAGTTTTGCCTTCGGTTTTTCGCAGGATTGGTCATCTTGAGTACCAGGTGGTGTGCTGGTTCTGGGAATCATTTGGGGTCCAGGCTCCTCAGAACATTTCTGCGTTAGAATATCCATGACTTCTCACCTTTCATTAGCGAACTGGAGGGACATTGGTATAGCCGTTGTAAAGATTTCTCTTCATTTTAACAAGTGACTTTACTGTTTCAACTGTTTGATTAAACTGTGACCCTGGCCATGACTCTGTGTGACTGAATTTTGTATCTTGTTTTCCTGGGGCCTCACTCACAGGCTTAGGACTTTCATTAACAAATCACCATCCACTGTGCTACTCTCAGTCTTCCCACTGTTGTGGACAGGGTCCGGTGACTGACAGGTGACTGCTGAGCAAAGCAATTGGGCTATTTCTATTCAAAGTCAAAAGAGGAAGAGACTGATCGAGTCCTGGGAGGTTCTAGAATAAAAAGTTAATTGAAACTTCAAGAGCGTCTATTTATTGTGAAAAATTGGAACTACTCCTTGTGACACAAAGGGCTATATTGCCATTGTGGGATGGTGTGAGAGAGAAAGGAGGAGGAGAGCAGAATCATCATAGGACTGACACTTTTCTTAAATATAATAGTTTTTCTTGAAGGCCATGGCCTGTTGGTTTCTGTTTCCAAAGATCGTAAGAATTGGGGAGTTAGCAAGTGTTCTGTTTTTGTCCTGCAGGTGCTGTGTGTTCAGATTAAGTGTTTCCACGAGATTATCACTATTGGCTACAATGTTTACCACTCCTATGACCTGCCCTGGTTCAGGACCCTCAGCTGGTAAGCTCTCTAGCCCCACAGGGACCCTTAACACATTTGGATGATAAGTGTTTGTGATAGGTATTTACAGTGGTGGGGTGGGGGGAGTGATGGCCACAGACTTGCACAGCACCTTTGAGACCCGAGTATTTCATAGGCCAGACTGTGTGGAGTCTTTAGTCTTCAGGAGTCTTGAGTAGTTACCAGGAGTCTGGAATTCTCCTGAGAAGAAACCAGACTGGCTGCATCTGTGACCACATTTGCCTCAGTATTTGGATTCTTTAGACTTTGCACAATGGCCCCCCTTTTCTAGATGAGCATATTTTTCATATCCCAGCATCCCACGAGATGTCTGGGAGTTGTCAATGCTGGTGTTGCTATCTCTGGAACTTGGTTTCCTCATCCTTAAAACAGATGGTTAAGATGTAGTTGTTTTCAAACTGTGATTTTGGAGCCCTAGCTCCTTGGAGGTGCCTGAGTGGGCAGGAGTACGACTGAATGCGTAGGATCTGGCCTCCTCAGGGAAGCTCGGCTTTCTCCCTCCCCTAGGAAAGGGCTCGGCTGTCTTAAAGCAAAAACCAATCAAAACCGGTAGTGCAGATGATGTCTGGGACCCCTTTCCTGACCTGAAACACTGCTTTATTGGCCATACCGTCCTCAGGCTGTGACGGGCGAGCAGAGCACAGCCCAGTGCTGAGACGACTTGGGGCAAATATGGACCCTTCTCGCCCTGCGGTGCTGGGACTCAGGGATTAATTCCATGACTCAGTAGACCAGAAAGCAGTGTTTTGGGCCCCAGCAACTTGGTCATGGCCAAGGGAGCTGACGTGCTCAGACTTGGGCTGGACACGTCTTTCCAGAAGTACTTCCCCATCGCCCAGCAGCATAGGCTGCCTCGTAGTCTCCATGTGGGCTTGTGCTTGCCACCTGGGTTAAGATGTAGGTCTCTCTTGTGGCTGTTCCATAGCTGGAAAGCAGTGTTTTGAATTTTGTTAACTTAGGATGTCTGAATCCTGACTGTGGTCACTATCCAAAGGAAATGTTTTTCATGTAACAGAAAATAAATCCAATATGGGAGTTCTTGAATTTCCACAATTAAAAAAAAAAATGAGAGAGAGAAGCTCTCCCCTCTCTTCCCTATCTCAGGATCCTTGTTGAGCGTTGGGAGTGGCGGCTGCGTGCTCCCATTCTCGGAAGCACATCAGAGGCTGCAAAGGACTAGGAGCCATGGCTTCTCCTTTCCCTGAGCTCCAGTTGAGGAGAGAGGATATAAACAAGTGAAGGGTTAATGCTAGTGGAAGATTTACATGTCAGAACCACATGTGAAGAAATGGATAAGTGAAGAAGATGCCCTAGGCAGGGAAAAGACAGGTGGCAAAGCCAGAGTAAACGATTTTGATAGGCATGCAGGGTTCCTGTTGGGATGAGTGGAAATAAGACTGAGGAGGCAGGATGCCGTGTGTTTTGGAGGGTTATCGTATGGTTTGAGTGTTCTTACAGGGGCAAACTGTCCCAAGTTTGTGATAAATGGAGTGAATGAAAGCTGCCACAAGGTTCTAGGTAAACTTCTCACGTACGGTGTCACCAGAGAACAAGGAGCCGTGGTCTCCTTGTCTCTCTGAGCTGCCCCCGGGGTCTCAAGGGTTGGGTGGACTGCTGCTCTGGTTCTCTCCTCGGGGTTTTCTGATAGCCTCGCTGTAAAGGAGAGGCTGCGTGTGCTTCCCATAGCAGTGACCTGTCTTCATTTACAGGTACTTCCTACTGTGTGTAAATTATTTCTTCTATGGTGAAACAGTGACGGATTACTTCTTCACTCTGGTCCAGAGAGAGGAGCCTTTGCGGATTCTCAGTAAATACCACCGGTTCATTTCCTTTACTCTCTATCTAATAGGTATGCATTAAGCAGTTCACCTGTTCTTGTGTCTGTCTTGTTTTCATATGTCTGCTGCTGAGTAGGAGTCAGGGGATTTCTTGACTAATGTAAAGTTTTGATGGCGTTTACTCTGACCGTGCAGGGGAGCAGAGCTGATGCCTCTGCCTTTCGTCAGCTGTAGCAGCTCTTTGCTAAGAGAAATGAGGCTGAGGAGCATTGTTAGTGTGGGGACTACAATCTATGCCACCTGTCTTGTGTTCCACCCTCCATTGGAGGACAGCATAGCATGGTCCTGTCCTGACTCTCCTGTTGGCAGAGATTCTGTGGTGTGACCAAAACAAAAACCACCCTGGAACTTATGTATAAAAATAAGTCGTGGGGGCCGGCCCCATGGCTTAGCGGTTAAGTTCGCATGCTCCGCTACTGGCGGCCCGAGTTCGGATCCCAGGCACGCACCGTCGCACCACTTGTCCAGCCGTGCTGAGGTGGCGTCCCACATACAGCAACTAAAAGGATGTGCAACTATGACATACAACTATCTACTGGGGCTTTGGGGAGAAAAAGGGGAAAAAAAGGAGGAGGATTGGCAATGGATGTTAGCTCAGGGTGGGTCTTCCTCACAAAAAAAAAAAAGTCGCCATCTTCAGAGAGTCATCTTAGGAGACTAGGAGACTGCCTTGAAGGACATTGCAGTATGGTGGAAATTTTACTGATTTGGGTTTAAGAAGACTCTTACCTCAGAGAGCCGGGAGCTTAATCTTTCTGAGTCTTAGCTCTTTTGTAATCTGGAACTAAAATTGCCGAGTTACTATGAGGATTAAATCAGATACAGTAAAATTTGACAAACAGTAAAGTGCTGTGTCAATCTAGACTCAGTGAAGACTGTACCCTAGGGCCGGCCCCGTGGCTTAGAGGTTAAGTGCGCGCGCTCCGCTGCTGGCGGCCCGGGTTCGGATCCTGGGTGCGCATCAACGCACCGCTTTTCCGTCCATGCTGAGGCTGCGTCCCACATGCAGCAACTAGAAGGATGTGCAGCTATGACACAACTATCTACTGGGGCTTTGGGCGGGGGGGGAATAAATAAATCTTTAAAAAAAAAAAAGACTGTACACTAGTTCTAGTAATGCTAGTGTTTTTCATAATTATCTTCAAAGCCAGTTTGAGGCACATGAGAAATTTGTTCTGACCTAAATTTGTCTGACCTATTTTTTATAAGATTGATGGCAATACTTGACTCTGTGAGTGACACCTGGCTATTAAAATACAAAATCCATGGTCAGGGGCCTGTTGCCATTGAGGATATTCAGAGAGCATGCCTCAGACCCTGAAAGCAGCCCCCACAGAGGGAGGTCAAGGGTCTGGATTGGTGACATACTCTGTTCTGGGCAGGACTGGTTTTGAGGGGCCCAGCTTGCTTCTGGGTAAAAGTCCCTTTCCTTCCTGGAGAAGCTGGGGCCTGCAGATCTTTTTTTTGACACCATATGGGTCAGTGTGAGAGAGATGGTAAGGGTGGCCTTGACCCCATACCAGGTGGCTCCCCCCCTCCACCAGACCTATTCTCTAGGACAGGGGTACAGGGGCTGGCAGAATTTTTCGTAAAGGTGCAGATAATAAATATTTTAGGCTTTGGGGGCCATAGGGTCTCTGTTGCAACTCCTCAGTTCTGTCCTTGTAGCACAAGAGGAACCCTAGACAGTCTGTAAAGAAAGGGGCATGGCTGTGTTCCAGTAAAATTTTATTTATAAAAGCAGGTAGCTGGCCTGACCATTGTTTGCTAGCCCCTGCTCTAGGATCAAAACAATCCTCTTTGGTGAACAGGGGCCTAAATTAAGTGTAGTCTGCAAGATTTTAAAATATTGCGTTCCTTGGATTATCTTGAAGGAGTTATTGTTTTCTTCTGACTGCTATCTGAATAACTACTAGTTTTTCTTCCCTGGGCTTTGGAATTGTGCCCTTGTTAACTGCTGCCAGAAAATTAGCCAAAGGACCACTTAGCATGGCTAAAGGAAATGACTAGAATAGAGATAAGTGCAGAATGTGATTCTTTTTGCTCTTTCTCCTCTGCCGTCCTCAAACTAGGATTCTGCATGTTTGTACTGAGTCTGGTCAAGAAGCATTATCGACTCCAGTTCTACATGGTAAGGGAATGTATGTGTGTGTGGGAATTCTTGGCTTAAATGAAGTTCTGCAGAAACTCAACAGACCTCTCATCCTTTCTGTGATAAATTAAAACTTCTGAAATGCAGTCTGTTCTGTATGCATCTAGAACCCAGAGCATGAAGGAAGAGGGCCTATTTAAGTTGGCGGCTCTACATCCACCTACCCAATCACTGTTACTTAATTCACACCCTAAGCAGTCTCTCCTCTAAGACCAGAAGGTGGGCTCCAGGGGAAGCTTCAGGCATTGCCCACAGGTACCCAACTTGCTGCATCACTCCCTCAATTTGAAAACATCCCCTCTCTGAGTACCCCAAGCACTCAATAAATACTTAGTAAAAAAAATGAAAAGTACCCAGGCTCTTGGAACACAGAAGGACTCACTCACTGGTGGTCTGTGTGGTCCCTGCTCTTGATGGGAACTGTGGCTGGGGGACAGAGTTACTCCCAGAAGCCTGTTCTGTATCTTTTCACTTCCACTAAGACAGGTACAGAAGCAGTTCTTTCCTACCTGTTTCTCAGCAGTTTTCTGTTTGGTTATTGACTGTTACTTGAAGTTCCTTTCAAGGTAAACTGATAGGTAAAGTGTATTCTTTTCCTTTGTTTGCAGTTTGGCTGGACCCATGTAACGTTACTGATCGTTGTAACCCAGTCCCATCTTGTCATCCACAACCTGTTTGAAGGAATGATCTGGTGAGTGATGTCAGTGAGGGGGATTTTCCCTTTCATTTTGTGGGTGTTTCTCATGTACAGGGGGCTGAGAACACCTGCCTTACCCTCTAAGGCTGTGGTTCTCACCTTGAGCCACATCAAAATCCCCTGCAGGGCTGGTTACAGCACAGATTGCTGGGCCCCACTACTGAAGTTTCTGCCTCAGGAGATCTGGGGTGGGGCCTGAGGTTTTGAATTTCTAGTACATTCCCAGCTGTGCTGCTGGGCAGGACCTTTGAGAACCACTTTGAGAACCACTGTTCTAGGCTAACAGGTACACGGATATTTAAAGAATCAAAGACAATGCAACTGTGTGGCAACAAATATGAAAATTAGAGGAAGATTTCATGATTTCCTGGCAAAATGTAAACTACTAAAAGTCCTGAAGAAGAAAATTTAAATAGATCAGTAACTACAGAATAACGTTGAAAATTGCGTAAGAATCCGCACCTGGAAAAAGAAGCAACCAGAGATAACAGCTGAGTTTTATCTCACCCTTAATACAAAAGCTGATAGGCGTAGGGAAGGAGAAACAAGAATGATAAGCTGATTTTTTTTAATGATTGTAGATAAACCATTGTAAGTAAACTGTTAGTAAATAGACTCTGACAATGTTTCAAAAGAATGATATACTGTTACTTAGTAGATTTTATTCCAGAAATGCAATGGTTTGAACAGGAAACCTGTCAGCATTGATAGAAGTCAGCAGGCTGACTGAAGCAGCTAGATGATCTTAGTGAAAAAGTGAAGGCATACCCTAGTGTGTATAAGGGATAGGTACTAAAATATTGTGGCTAAGACCCCAGACTGTGCCTCTCTTTGCAGATCTCAGAATGAGGATCCATCTCCTGAGGAATAAATTAGGAAATGTATGTAAAGTGCTTAGAACGGAGACTAGCTCATATAGATGTTAGCCTTAGGCATTATTGTGTTTAAGACAATGATCATGGCCTGGGGAGGCACACAGCTCCTTCCCTTGTTTCAGAATTTTTGTTAGGTGATTCTAAAGAGTGGCTCAGCCTAAGTCCTTATCTTTAGGGCCAGACATACCACTTGGTTCTACAGTGAATCATATTAAAATCTCGAGTTATTGGTTTTCAGACTCAGCCTACAAGACTTAATTATAGTTGCAGAGCAGAGAATATGTACTAGAAGCCTCGACGAAGTAATTAATATTGTGGTGGGGTTGGGAGGGTACAGACACTCTAAATCCCTCCCTTAACAGACTGGAAGTCAGAAAATATTGCCTAGAGTTCATGGGCCAGGAAATCGAGATTTATATATATGATGTTAAACCGTAATAAAGGAAATTAAAAAGCAAGTGACTCTCAGAGAGTGGAGCATGAGGAGAGGAGGGAGATGGTCCAGGTGTGGGAACTGCCCCCTTTTTCACAGTGGGGTGAGCAGACCCACAGGGGAGGCAGAGAAGTCTAGCTGTGTGTGTGGTGGTTTTGCTCTCAGTGTGATCCTGGGGAAGGGCAGGGCTCACTAGAGCTAATCATAAACAGTAAAAAAAAAAAAACAGTAGGTAAACTATGAAATAGACATAAAATATATCACTTAGAGTTATGAAAGTAACTACTAGAAGAAGAAAAGTCAGCAATGATTAAAAATAGTTATTTTGGAAAGACAAAATCATCCCGTTTGCAACAACATGGTTGGACCTTGAGGGTATTATGTTAAGTGAGATAAGCCAGACAGAGAAAGACCAATACCACATGATCTCACTCATATGTGGAAGATAAACAAACACATGGACAAAGAGAACAGATCAGTGGTTACCAGAGGGGAAGGGGCTTGGGAGTAAGCAGAAGCGGTAAAGGGGCATGTATGTATGGTGACGGATAAAAATTAGACTATTGATGGTGAGCACGACGCAGTCTATATAGAAACTGCTAAATAATAATGTACACCTGAAATTTTACAATGTTATAAAACATTGTGACCTCAATTTAAAAAAAAGGTAGTGGGCTGGCCCTGTGGCTTAGCGCTTAAGTGCGCGCTCTCCACTGCTGGCGGCCCGGGTTTGGATCCCGGGCGCGCACCAAGGCACCGCTTCTCCGGCCATGCTGAGGCCGAGTCCCACATACAGCAACTAGAAGGATGGGCAACTATGGCATACAACTATCTACTGGGGCTTTGGGGGGTGGAAAAAAGGAGGAGGATTGGCAATAGATGTTAGCTCAGAGCCGGTCTTCCTCAGCAAAAAGAGGAGGATTAGTACGGATGTTAGCTCAGGGCTGATCTTCCTCACAAAAAAAAAAAAAAGTTATTTTGGAGAATGGAGATAGGGATGGGGGAAACAAAACTGTTTTTTTCTCTCCTTTACAGTTTAAATTTATATCATCGTGTGCATATATTACTTTATAATGAAAAAAGAACAAATGCATTTTATAGAATACCACCTCCATTTATTCAGTAAACGTTTGAATGCCTGCTATGTGCCAGGTACTAGGTATGGCTCATATGATATTTTATTTCCTTTTAACTTACTCCTTAATGGGTAATGAGTACTCTGTGGGTTCTTTTGGTACTGGAATTTATGAATGGCATTGTTTTGTGGACTTCTGAGGCATTGTCACTGTGGTAGAATTGATCCTTACTTGTGTTATTTCCTAGGTTCATTGTCCCCATCTCTTGTGTGATCTGCAATGACATCATGGCCTATATGTTTGGTTTCTTCTTTGGTCGGACCCCACTCATCAAGGTAAATGGGTCATCCCAACATGAAATATCACCATGAGGGAAGGGTGGTGCTGTCAGTATGAGGAGATCAGCTTGGGAGCAGAGAGGAAATCTAGCTGGTGTGTATGTGTTCACGTCATTCTGGAGAAAGGCTGGTGATAAATTAGTTTTAAGAGAAAAGCCGAAGGAAGACATTGACAACTACTTATAGGAAAGAAAGATCTAATAGAGAAAATATTTTTATACACTGTATAGGTAGACTTTTGGGGCTTTGATCTGAATTTGAGTGTTGTCATTTAATTAGTGTCTTGTTTTATAATAGAATTAAATTATTTGAATGACCAATTGCAAGAGAAGGGACACTGAGGGGTATCAGGCAGGGAATAAGGAACCAAGTGTGGGGATCTTTTAGAAGGTGAGGTGATTAACAGTGAGGTTTTCTTCTATAGTAGGAAGATTTTTAACAAGTAATCATTGTTCCCAAAGCTAGAGTTATCAAAATGCGCTTTGCTCAGAACTTGCTTTCTGTCCACAGCTGTCCCCGAAGAAGACTTGGGAAGGCTTCATTGGGGGCTTCTTTGCTACTGTGGTGTTTGGCCTTCTGGTAGGTTGTGGCTCCCGGCTGGGTGGGGGAGTGGACAGAGGCCTCACACCCACCTTCAAAGCCTGTCCAGGGCTAGAGAGCATGTTGCCTGAGGCCAAGGACTCTGTCCTGTTGAATGGTAACCTCGCCCTGCAGAGGGGCACGAGCATGGCACACTCCGTAACTGGCACAGGCAGCGCCCTCTGTCCTTTATCCACCAGCTCTCAAGCAGAGTCTTGGCAGTTGAGGAGCTGGGGGTGTGCACACCTCATACTCCTTTCATGCTGAGGCATGGCGACACTCAGCAGGTGGCATTCTTGTCCAGGCATTTGATATCTCAGGGTCGGGGTGACTGGCACCTGAGAGTGAGAGGTGAGGTGAGATATGCCACTCAGCTCAGATTTTCTCCTTTATGTGCCCTGCTTGGAGGTGGATGATCTTCCAGCCCTTTCTAGAGCACCGTTCCCTGCTCCGACCCTCAGGCCAGTCTCTCCTTTTTCAGCGTTGTCCAGCTGTCCTTCGTTGCTGACTCCCCTACTTTATTGCTCTTCAGCCTTCTTCCCGGCTGTCTGCCTCTCATTCTACCACTCCCCCAGCCTGCCTCCAGTCAGCGCTAAGTTTATAGATCCCAAGAAAAATGGACCATAGCTCCCCTAAATGGGGGGAAACTTCTTGTAGCTCTTTGCTCAAATTCCTTCAGGTCTTTCCTACATTTATTCAGGACCTGGGTATTTGGGCAAGTGTGTGTGAGACCTCAGTGGGCTATGAACCATTTTTTTTTTCCCCCCCAAATTCAGGTGAAATACACATGTGTTGAAACCTAAACTTCTGATTTAGTGCATAGGAATGTGGTCAAACCAGGTGTCTGCTACCCAGGCAGGATGGCTGGAACTTGTCTCCCTTGCCCGTCTCTCTGTTCTTCATTCTCAGCTGTCCTATGTGATGTCTGGGTACAGATGCTTTGTCTGCCCCGTGGAGTACAACAATGACACCAACAGCTTCACTGTGGACTGTGAGCCCTCGTACCTGTTTCGCCTGCAGGAGTACAACATTCCTGGGGTGATCCAGTCGCTCCTTGGCTGGGTATGTGCCACTCACATGGGGTGAACTGTCCGTGGTTGGATAGTGACTACAAAGAGAGAGCCCCCTCTTCACCACTCCTTCCTCCCTCCCCAATGATGTTATTTGCCTTTTTCACTTTTTTTTTTTTAAATTTTTTTATAGAAGACCCTCATCAGTGGAGAGGGCTTCTTTTTTTTTTTTTTTTTTGTGAGGAAGATCAGCCCTGAGCTAACATCCATGCTAATCCTCC